ACTTTATCACCTTACTGGTGGTCTTGGGTTAAAGCTGCTTGATTTCTTGTTCTGTTAGAAGATATTTTCCTGACATTTGCTCCCCTCTGGACTGCAAAGTGTTTTCTCAGGTAGGTCCAGTGGGAATGGCTGGTTGAACCCAGAGACTCCATCCTCCTTTGCTTCCTTAGCTGGCGGTTGTATTTCCTTTTTGTCACTGGCAGTGGGTTCAGGGTCAGGTCTGGAGTAAAACTCAGTGTTAAGGTTACCTATAGGAAAGAGAGCAAACCTAGAGAGAACAAACTTGTGAGTTACAAATAGAAGGGCTTTTGGGGGTGTTACTTTCAGGTTTACTGGGGGAGAGGGTGGCAGAAAGTAGCCTAGATAAAATTCTCTGGATACCCTAGGCATTTTTTTCTACCCAGGGGTCAGATGGCACAACCTGGGGACTGAGGAGTTCACTCTGAGGGCTGTGACAGCTTGCCCCAAGCCAGGGTCCAAAGATGGTCCACCCCGAGCAGGGCAACATCTCCCAGGGGCTGGCTGGTAGACTCCCCCTCCAATTGCATCCACCCCAGTCTGGACCCCTTGCCTGACCGAAGACTCTGTGGCCAGGGACAGCATCCCAAATTCCAGCACTGCCACTTTTACCACCCCCCCATAAGTGATCATACTGTAATTTGAAGTAGGTGTCACCGCCCTCCCCCTTTATAAATGGCAAAGGGAACCTGAGAGTTGTGAACAGACTCCCCCCAGGTCTAAACAGCTTTTGGCAGAAGTATTCAACAGATCAAAATATGTGGTGCATTTAGGATGTCGGTCCTCTTGGACATGCTGCCACTGTTAAGTGTCATCAAGTAGACAACTCACAGTGACTTTCAACAATGGGTGATCTTCTTCTCTGGCCTGTCCAAGGAAATCCAAACCTGCAGGCAGTGGGGCACGCATCTCCCGCTGCCGCCATCTTGGCTTCAAGAATTCTCCCCAGAACAAGTCCACTTGAGGCAGTGTGGCAGCTCCGCTGCACCAGTCTCGGGGAGACCCAGTGCCTACCATCCATCTTGGGTGAGGGAGTCCGTGGGTTCTGACAGTGGGAGCCTCATGGAGCTGTGGTGGCAGTGTGGTGTGGGCTCAGCAGGAGGGGGCTGGGAGCTGGGGGACTCACCCATTCCTCCTTGGGAATCCTTGAATTCCTGTTGTTGAGCCTCGATCTTCACTGAAGACCAGTCATCAACTGTTTAACTGTTCAATTATCAATAAACAGAACGCTGTAGAAGGCCATAGTGTCCCTCCTCCAAGTGGTCCACTGCTCCCGCAGCTCACCACATTGTCTCCGCCTCTGCTGCCATCTTGATCTCAGTTAGGAGGTTTTTATGCTCTTGTTTGCCCCAAGTTCTGAGCTACTTGCTATAGCAGTCTGCTTTTGAAACATTTCAAGGGAACAGAAATACAAAGGCAACATTTTGCTGTTGAAAGAGTTCAAGGGTACATGGAGTGCAAAACATCTACATTTTGGGTTATAGACCAGAGCTACTGTGTTGGAAAGCAGTTCAAAACTTTGAGGCTTGGGCAGAAATTTTCCACACAGGTTTTAGTTATAAAATGGAGTCTGTTTGACTTCTCACTCCTCAATGATTTTTCTACATATTTCACACCTTTGAAGCTTCAGCAGGAGTGCCTTCAACTGGTAAGGGGTAGTATTGGGGCTTAAGAACTAGAAGCTTAGAGCAGCTGCTGCATGTGTTGTTAGCCGCCACTGCACATTTCATCAGTAGCCATGGATCTGTTCTAGTCAACTAACTAGCTATGTGTCCTAAAAAGTTCTTAGTGTGGCCTGTACTTCTCTCCTACTGGAGCAATAGTCTGAGGCCCTGCTGCTTAGAGACCCCCACCTATGCTGCCTGGAGGCCACTGTCCCCTCTACCTGGACCTGCAAGCCCACTGCCTGGAGGAACTGGCCCCATGGTCTGAACACTCTCACCCATTGCCTGGAAGCCCAACCCAGCCAACTGGAGGACCAGGCCCTGAACCTGGACATATTGCCATTTGGAGGATGACCCACTGCCACACTTCTGAATTACAGCAGAGACAGCAATATCACAGGTAATTCCATTTCTTCTCCCCACCCAGAGCTTGAGCTGCCTTTAACCCTGAACACCTTGGTCTCGCCTAGCCTAGCTGGAGCAGTTGCCTGACAGAGCAGACTGCTAACCCACTGGCCTTATGTCTCCCCAACTAAAGCAAGTCTTTCCTTGAGTCAAAAGCTCAGAGTGAAACTCAGACATGGTAGTTGCTGTGCCCTCCCCTGGAACAGTCACTCTCTGAGCCAAGGTGTTCAGACAAATGACCTGCTAAAGCCTCAGGCATGAAAAACTCTACCATTGCAATGTCACAGAAGTAGCACACTACCTCACACCTTACACAAACCCTAAACAAGATGTCACCCCCCCAAAGACTGACACAATACCAGTGGACTTCCTGAAGCCAGAAAGTCTGATGGAACTTTCTAACACAGAATACAAAAGAACAATGATTGAGCATTTTCAATGGGTAAAAGACAAAATTGAAGAATTAAAGGACTCTGCAGGCAAAAACTAAAAAGAATTTTGAAAAAAACAATCCAAGACAATGCAGATAAAACAAATGAGACATTAGATGCTCTGGAAAAACAAGAAACCACAATCGAGAATATAAGGACCAATGTTTCAGATGCTGTCAACATGTTGGAAGGACATATGGACAGAGCTGAAGAGATGGAACACATAACCAATGAGACAGAAGATAGAATTTTCACCACTGATCAATCAGGAGGAAAGCAGAAACAGAAAGGAAGGAAAAAGAAGAAAACCTAAGAATAAAGTGGGCTTTTAGGACCAAATAGTAGGCTCTTCTCACTATTTCTTAGTTGTTGGAATTGATGGAAAACCTCATAAACAGTTCTTTACTTCACCTCTGCCTTGCATGTGGACTTTCAAGTTGTAAAACAATCCAGTGGTAAATGGAATTTGCTCCAGGATTTAAGAACAATAAATGACATAGTTGAACCTCTACATCTTGTGGTTCCTAACCTTTATACTCTAATAGACAAAGTGCTAGTCAATAGGCCTTTTATTGTAAGAACTACCTTCCCTCTGTAACTTGATTTGTGCCACTATTAGAACCGCTACTTGGAATATTATTGCTTTTTAATTTTTGACTCATGTACTTGTTAGTTAAATTTGTGTCTTCTAGGCTGCAACACTTCCATGATACATCTTCAAGGATATGAACATGTACGGCTAAGCACAATTGATAACAGTGCATCTAAATTTCTAAATCAATCTCCATAATAGTCTATGTGTTTCCTATTGCCAAAGGGGCCCTTTAGAGTAGTGAGAGAAGATCTTCACCCTGAAACCTACAGTGTCCCTTTTCAGCAGGAAGTAGCTAAGAGAATATGCCGTCCCCTCTTCCTTATGAATCAGAGTGAAATCTCTCTCAGGAAGAAGTGATAGGGAATGGCAAAGGACACACTGACAAAGGAGATTAATCAGAACTGGCTTTGACAAGCACTGTGGCAATTGGACAATTAAAACAGACTTTAAAGAAGGGCGGAAAGAAGAAAGAATTGGGGAGGAGGGTAGAGAAAATTGTGCATGAATGAATGAAAACCCCAAATCTCTGCAAATGTTCATTAAAATTAATAAAATTTAAGGGGGCTCTGGTGGCCTAGTGGCAAGAAGCTGCACTGCAATCCCAGAGGTATGTGGTTCAAATCCACCAGATGCTCTGCTGGAAAAGGAGGGGAAATCTCCTCCTGTACCAGTCAGATCTGATTTGACTGTACACGTGCAAAAAATAATAAAGTAAAAAAAAATAAAATTAATAAAATGTAATCACAAATTAAAAAAGAAAAACAATACCCATCAAAACAGCTAATCACAAGATTAAATACTTGAGAGTAAATCTAACTAGAAACACAAAAGACTTATTCAAAGAAAATTACAAGATTACTACAAGAAACTAAAAATAAAACAAAACAAAACAAAAAAACCCTGGAGAAATGTAAGTATATAATACCAAGGTCTTGTATAAGAAGATTCAATATTGTGAAAATGAAAATTCTGCTAAAGACATTCTACATTGTTCAATGCAATCCCAATACAAATATCAATTCCATTCTTTAATGAGATAGAAAAGGCAATTTCTAATTTCATCTAGAATGGAAAGAGACCGCAAATAAGTAAAACATTCCTGAAAAAAGAGAAACAAGATAGGAGACATCTCACTTCCTGATTCTAAATCCTACTACACAACCATGGTAGTCAAGACAATATGACACTGGTATAGTGACAGACACATAGGTCAATGGAACAGAATAAAGAACCCAGAATTCAGCTCATATACATATGGTCAACTGATTTTTGACAAGATGAAATCATCTAAATGGGGAAACAAAGGGAGCTCTGGTGGCCTAGTGGCAAGAAGCTGCAATCCCAGATAAATGGGGAAACAAAAGCCTCTTTAAAAAATGGTGTTGGCAAAATTGGAAAACTATCTGTAGAAAACTCAAGCAAGACCTCCTACCATATACAAAAACCAACTCAAAATTAATCAAAGCCTAGGAGTAAAAACCAGGACAATAATCTTCATCAGAAGAAAGCTTGGAAGAACTCTAGAAACCCTAAGTCACAATATGAACAGTCTTCCAAGCATCCTGGAAAACCTACAACCAGGAGAGTATAAAATAGATGAACGGCAGCTTTTAAAAATCAAATCCCTATGCACATCCAAAAAGTTTTCCAACAAGATAAAAAGGAAAGCCACAGACTAGGAAAAAATATTTGAAATGGCATATCTGATAAGGTACTTATATCTATAATTTATAGAATACACCAGCACCTCAACAAGATAGAGGTAAACAACCTAATTGCAAAGTGAGCACAGGATATGAACAGATCGCCAAAGAAGACATTCAAGTTGCCAACAAATATGCGAAGAAAGTTTGAAATCCCTAGATCTAGGAGAGATGCAAATAAGGAAGATGGCGGCGCTGGGAGAACCTGTGCGGCTGGAGAGGGATATTTGTAGAGCCATTGAATTGTTGGAAAAACTACAAAGGAGTGGAGAGGTCCCACCACAGAAACTTCAGGCCTTACAAAGAGTTCTTCAAAGTGAATTCTGCAATGCTGTACGAGAGGTGTATGAACATGTTTATGAAACTGTGGACATCAGTAGCAGTCCTGAAGTGAGAGCTAATGCAACTGCAAAGGCTACTGTTGCGGCATTTGCTGCCAGTGAAGGGCATTCTCATCCTCGAGTTGTTGAGTTACCAAAAACAGAAGAGGGCCTCGGATTCAATATTATGGGAGGCAAAGAACAAAACTCTCCAATCTATATCTCACGAATAATTCCAGGTGGGATTGCTGATAGACATGGCGGCCTCAAAAGAGGAGATCAGCTCCTTTCTGTTAATGGAGTGAGTGTCGAAGGAGAACATCATGAAAAAGCTGTAGAGCTGCTGAAAGCAGCCCAAGGGAAGGTTAAATTAGTGGTCCGATACACACCCAAAGTCTTAGAAGAAATGGAGTCACGCTTTGAAAAAATGAGATCAGCAAAACGCAGGCAACAGACCTAATGCAGTTCAACACTTTCTGTTTGCTTTTAGCTAGAGAAGTTTTGCTTGTGACCTACTGAGGGCCACAATGCCAATGATTGTATTTAAAAAAAAATAAATAAATTCCCATGAATCGTCAAAAAAAAAAAACAAATAAAAAAACAATGAGATATCATCTCATCCCAGTATCAGCAGAGCAGCAAACAACAAAAACTGGAGAGGATGTGAAGAAATTTGAACCCTTATTGACTCTTGGATGGAAACAGTGGCATCCACTTCCTAAACAATATGCCTTTGTAAACTCTAGGAATGTTGATAAATATCAATTGTTGTAGAGGGGCTTCAAGGCCTTTAGTTCATAGGGTCGCTATGAGTTGTGCTCAACTCGAAGGCAATGAACAACAACATTGACTATTGTTAGGAGTGTAAAATGATGCAACCTCTATGGAAGGCAGTATGGCACTTTCTCAAAAAGCTGGAAAGAGAAATACCATTTGACCAAGCAGTTGCACTACTTGGAATACACACTAAAGTAACCATAACTGCCGCCCAGATATAGGCACACTCATGTTTATTGCTGCATTTTTCACAATAGCACAGATATGGAAATAACCCAGCATCCATCAGCAAATGATTGGGTAGGGAAGGTGTGTATATTCACACAACGGAATACTACACAGCACTGAAAAACAAGGAACTCTTAAGAAATTATACAACATGGGTGACCCTTCTGGAAGGCATTATGCTGAGTGAAATGTCTCAGTCAGAAAAGGACACATACTGCATAATGTCACTTTAACTAACATAGAAGGGGGATGAAAAGGGGTGGATGAGTTCACCAGGAGCCACATATAAGGAGGGACAGTAACAACATATATAAAGGTAAAGTTACGTTCCACATTTTTGAAGTAATTAGTGAAGATTCCTTTGGCATCGTTAGTGTTATTGGAAAGCACAAAGAAATAGAAATTGGGAAGACAAGTTGTAACATTTAAGGGAGAGATTATGGAATTATTTGGTGTCAAACTTTAGATTGTTGCTGGATAGTGAGAGCTCCACCAATTCTGTGCATTTGGCCTCCCTCTGTTACAATATAGCTGGTTTGAGCAGCTTGTGTCCAGGAGTCATTGGATGCATGGTGATGTTTAGGGCAAGATAAAGAGGTCGCTATTTCCTGAGTCCAGGGACCCAGAATGATGGTGAGGGTATGGACAAGTGTCCAGCAGCCATAGTGTATCAAAAGTGATGTGTTCACAAAAAGAAAGGGATGGAGAGAAAGACAGACTAGAGATATTAGGGTTATAGGATTTAAATAAGCCACACAGCACCATCGAAAAAGAAAGAAGCCTGTTTTAGTCTTACATAAGAGGTGTTTTTGTTGGTGTTATTAAAAACCCAACAAGCTATAGGGAAATGTAGTCCACCTAAAATGGACATGTTTATAGGGATTATTTCTCTTTCTTGGCAGGAGTGTGTCAGAGGATATACGTCTGGTTGGCATACTTAAGGTTGGAGTGTGGTGTTCCAGGAAGTTAATAGAAAGAGAGCAGGTCTAGGAACAAAACCCCACAACACCAGATGCAGAACCTCACTGGCTGCATTGCTGTTAACTGCTAATGCTGCCATCAGAAGGACTACCATTACGGGTTCTGTTAGAGCAGACCCACTGGTATTCATAGATATAGCCTCATCCATTAATACCTTAAGCATTCCCCATGTTACTGACACGGTTTCTTCCTCGTTGGTCCTTGATTCCTCCACTGTTGCTTTTCTTGAAGATTCAGCATCTGCATCTTCTGGTTTGTTGGCCTGGTATCTGACATTTCTAGTGGGTACCCAGAATGGGTGTGGCTTGTCCTATGGAAACACATAAGCATATCCTCTCTCATCAGTTAACAGGGGGTCTGTGCCCTTCCATACATGGTCTAGAGGTTCTTTCCATGTTACCTATAATGGGGGTTCCTGGGTGACAGTGTTTTGTTGCCAGTGAACACGCATAAGAGGTGAAAAATTTTCTTAAATATTATGAGTATTTAATGTAAAGAATACTTTATATAATTATACTATAGGGAGGTATTCTGCCCCTTTTCTTTTTTCAATTGAATTTTTAAAGTACTATAAGCTCTTTCTACTATGCCTTGACCTTGGGGGTTATAAAGGATTCCTGTGGTGTGTTGAATATTCCATACTTTACAAAACTCAGCAAAAGAACTGGCAAAAGTGGGCCCATTGTCAGATTTTATAGCTTGTGGAAGGTCCATTACTGAAAAACATTGAAGCAAATGACTTAAAAGTTTTTTGTAGACTCTCTAGTTTGTGCAGTGGCCGACATGAATTTAGAATATGTGTCAACTGAAAGAAATACATATTTTTGTTTGCCAAAAGAATTAATATGTGCCTCTGGAAACTCTATGTATGAACAGTGCTCAGGCCATTCATTCATAGGGTCGCTATGAGTTGTCTACAACTTGATGGCACCAAACAACAATAACAATGACAACGACAAAGAGAGAGCTACATTGGCCTAGTAGAAAGGAAATTATGCTACCAAGCCGAAGGTGGGTGATTTTCATCTGCGGCCCTCGGCCAGGTTCAAATTGTTTTCCTGTCAAACATTCTTCTAGGTGGTATAGCACTGGTCTGTGCATTGCTGTACAAAGGTAACCTGTGGTTGCTGTGATGCTGAAGACTGTGACAGTGATGTGCTAATTGTGGTAATGGGTACCCACCATGGACAGTGTTGGCTGGAGCTTCCCGACTAAAACAAGCCTGGAAGCAGGAGCAGCATCCACTTCTGAAATGGCTTGCCTCCGGAAACTCTATGTACAAACAGTGCTCAGGCTGTTCATTCATAGGGTCGTTATGAGTCCTCTATGACCCGAAGACTCTATGGCACCAAACAACAACAACAACAACAATATCAATTTGCCACAGGCAATTAGCTTTCAGACCCCTGGGGTTCACTCCTGGAGATTGGATAGCAGGAGTGTGAATTAGGGAAGCACAAGCTCTAATTCTTTTCCACTGCAACAAAGGAGTTTGAGGAAACTGTGCTTCAAGACACTTAACATTGACATGGGTTAAGGAGTGTAAGGTATCTGCTGTAGACATGAAATAAATAGCACCATGAGTGGCAAGATGGTCTCCTTTACGGTTTCCTTCTGCTATGAAGTCAGTTTGGCCTGTATGACTTCTGACACGTTGCAAGATTATAGAACTACTCCGCTATAAAAGTAAATGAGCAATTGGATTAATAAAAGGGAAAGAGGATTTTTATCTAAGCACACAGAGCAACAGCCTAACCAATGCAGAATAGTAATAATATAATGACATCAATAAATAGATTAATTATTCATTGGCTCAGGGACATGACTTAAATGCAAGAAGGATTGCAAATAACTCTTTAAATTGTAGTGAGATATCAGGTAAAGGGGTAAAATAAGTAGTAAGCAGGGTTGTGGGTTTGGTGGGATAGATAGTTACTATAGCTCCATCTTTTCCATCATCTGTAAAGACATTGAGAGCTGTATGGATAGGCGTATTTTTTGAAAAGTAGGGATGGCAGTTATCAAAAAAGAGGGATCGTCAAGCAGATATATGCACACCCATGTTTATTGCAGCTTTGTTCACAATAGCAAGGAGTTGGAAACAACCTAAGTGCCCATCAACAAATGAATGGCTAGAGAAGCTGTGGTATATTCGCACAATGGAATACTATGCTGCATTAAAAAACAAGGAACTCATGCAATATTACTTAAAATGGTTGACTCTGGAGAACATTATGCTGAGTGAAATGTCCCAGTCACAAAGGGACAAATATTGCATGGTGCCACTGTTGTAGAATGGGACTGTCCTTGGGGTTGGGGAGAGACTGAGTAAGATGGGTTCAATAATGTATACTGTTCTGAAACAGAGAAGGGAGAAAACTGTTTAAAAGAGATATGTGATTAGGTATTTCTGTCATGACAGGAGTCTAGAGCTATGGCTACATGGTGGAGTGGACCTGGGGGAGAGTTTGTAAAATAATGAAAGAATCTTTTCTTTTACTTTTCCAAGAGGGTAATGTCTGGTGGGGAGAGCCTTGGGAGGGGACAAATCTACAACAATGAATGAATGGAAATCCAAAGCCTCTGTAAATTTTCACTGAAATTAATATCAAATTTAAATTAAAAAAAAAGAATTAAGTTAGAGTAAGGATGGCAATGGAACCACCTTACCTCTGTAACTTGATTTGTGCCACTATTAGAACCTCTACTCAGAATATTATTGCTTTTCAATTTTTGACTCATGCACTTTTAACTTGTTAGTTAAATTTGCATCTTCTAGGCTGCAACACTTCCATGATACATCTTCAAGGATATGAACATGTATGGCTAAGAACAATTGATAACAGTGCATCTAAATTCCAAAATCAATCTCCATAATAGTCTATGTATTTCCTACTGCCAAGGGGCCCCTTTAGAGTAGTGAGAGAAGACATTCACCCTGAAACCCACAGCGTCCCATTTCAGCAGGAAGTAGCTAAGAGAATATGCCATCCCCTTTTCCTTATGAATCAGGGTGAAGTCTCTCTCAGGGAGGAGTGATAGGGAATGGCAAGGGACACACTGACAAAGGAGATTAATCAGAACTGGCTTTGACAAGCACTGTGGCAATTGGACAATTAAAACAGACATGGGGGGGAAGAAGAACAAACTGGGGAGGAGGGTGGAGAAAACAGTGCAACAATGAAGGAATGAAAACCCAAAATCTCTGTAAATGTTCATTAAAACTAATAAAATTTAATAATAAAAAAAAAAGAAAATCGTACAGACCAAAAAAAAAAAAAAAAGAGGGATGGAAATGTAAATGGAGAACTGGGATAAGGACAATCAATTTTCCAGAAAACCTTCAAAAGCTATAGCAAAACTGCTGTTATGTTGGAATAACCAGTCAATATCATTGCCGGGAAAAGATAAGATCACATAATGTGGCTCTACCCTAAATACTTGGAGTGCTCATTGTCAGCCTTATTGGACCATATTGGAAAGAGCATACAATTCTCTAAGGGCTCTTGGAGTACCAGCAATCCAGAATGGAGCCATTCTAAAACTCCTGGAGTCTAATATAATGCTCCTACTACAGTAG